CTTCCTTTCCTTCTTCCCAAAACTCTTAATTTCCTCTAAATTAAAAACCCCCAAATCGATTTTTTTTCCAAAAAATTCCCAATTTGGTCGAATCTTAGGTTTTCTTTTTCTTCAATTTCTTGTGCAATTAGTCTAATTGACTTGAATCAAATCAATTCAAACCCTTTAAGACTCGAAATATTGAAAATCCCTAAATCAATTTTTGCTGAAAAATTCTCGGGAACCCTAGGTTTCAATTGGTGTCAATTGAGCTTCAATTTCGTGTTTAAACCCTAAATTGAACTCAATTAGCCCTAAATTTAACCCCTAAGATCATTTCTAACCAAACAACAAAACCCTCAAAAAATTGAAACTTGATAGTAAATTTTGAAAATTAAAGAGAAATTCTTTTACCTAGACGAAATTGATTCCAAAAGAGTGATGGGATTTAGCTTCTCCTACGGGTAAACTCTCTCTCTTTTCTTTTCTTTTTTTTTTTTGATTTTTTTGCTACTTGCCTAGTTTTTCTTTTTTTGTTTTGCTGATTTTGCTTTCAATTTCGGGCTTTCTTTTTTTTTTTTTCGGACTTCCTGCCTTTTTTTTTTTTTTTTTTTAACTCTCTTCTCTCGTCTCCCTATGAACTATGTTTGCTTGGTTGGTTCCCCTACTATGATGGTGGGGGATTTTTTACGGGATATGGGTGTCAAGTGGAGGGATGGATTGGACAATGTTGTGGGCTATGGCGGTGGTGTGACTGCTGGAGATTGTGGGCTATGCGGGGTGGGCTGGTAGGAGGGGTTGGGTGATGATGGAGTTGTTGGAATTTGCAGCAATAGGATGGTTGGCAAGTGGGGGTGCCGAGATTGTTGACTTGAGAGGAGTTGGGCACTGCAAGTTGAGGGAATTGATTGCTGCAAGTGGAGGGAATTGATTGCTGCTTGGAATTTGGAGTTGTAATCGAAACCAAAGCTGGTTCCATGAAGCAGGAGGACAAAATCTCGAAACTAGTTCGGGCGGGAGTGGGACTAGTTGTCCACTCCTGTGCAAGTTTACAATTTTTTTCTTTCTTTTTTTTTTTTTGTAATTTTACAATTTTGGTCCTTGAAAATCATTACTAGGTCAACTTAGTCCCTATGCAATGTAATCGACCCTCGAATTTTGAATGATTCGATTGTATATCTAATGAATGTAATTATTTTGAATTTAATGTAATTGCATCCCCGAATGTTAAATTAAAACTATTTTTGGATTTTTTTTCTTTTTTCCTCTTCTTTTGTTTTTGCAAATTATTAAAAAAAAACTGATTAAGATTAGAAAAATGAAATAAAAGAAAATAAATAACCAACTAAAAATGAAAGAGTCTAAAATTTTAGTTATGACAACTAGAAATAGATAAAACAAGTGAAAGATCGCAATGACGACTCACGAAATTCAAGCCCAACAGACCGGAATGCAGTGTTTCTCTCTATTGAGAAAAACTTTGCGTGTCGATTTTCCCGCTGAACTGAGTGATCTTTCTCTTTATATTTCTCGTTTTTTGTTTTTTTTGTTTTAATTGAGATTACAATGAGGATTTACAGCTCCCTCTTCTGATTTAAGGTTGAGGGAATTAGCTGGCAGAATCGAACCAATTTATTTAAAGCCATCACTGAGTAATCTCTTCTTCTTCTTTTTTTTTTTTCAATTTTCAATTTTATTTTTGTTTTTAAAAAATGGATTTTTCTGTTGTGGGAAATTTGGAGATTGCAGTGAGGATTTACAGCTCCCTCTTCTGATTTAAAGCTGAGGAAATTAGCTGGCAGAATTGAACCAATTTATTTATCGCCACCACTGAGTAAACTCCCTTTTCCTTCAGTTTGTTTTTGGATATGATTTGATTTGCTTTTGATTTTTCGTTTTCATTACGTGTGATTGGATTATGTTGATGATGATGATGAAGCTATAATATTATAATCCAACACTTGATCCGAGACATTTATTGTTGAGTGATGTTAAAAAACATTTGCTTCTGAATCTGCTTTTGATTTTTCCCGTTTAATTGCTTATTTTTATGTTTCTGTGAATGGAGTTTGTGCTTCTCGAGTACTTCATTTGTTTGCTGTTGCTTTAGTCTCACGGAAAAAGTAAAAGTATGTTTTTAAAGTACTGCACGAATTGGAGAAACCATCTCCTCTGAGATTGTTGTGTGCTTTAATGGTTGGAACTAATCTAATTTGGACTGCTGAGAAATGGATTCAACGTGTTTGATAAATCTTGTGTGCCATCAGATTTATAGATATCGCATGTGAATGCAACAATTTGATAGCTCCCAATATCCAGTGAACTTTTTCAATCCATTTGTGCTGTAAAAATGATTCCTGCGGTGATATCTTACTATTTCGGTGCCCGTGTCATTTTCAACAGGAATTCAACACCATTCTAGATCTATATCGTTGTTGTTTAGTGTTGATTTCCATTATTTTTGCTAAATGATCAAGTGATGAAAATTGGAAATATCTTAGGACACTTTCCTACATAGCTTTCTAAGCTATGGATGAGAATAAAATTTCCGTTCTGATGATGATTTTGGCCATCCTATTTTAGCTACATTTTTATTTTGTGTTATGGTTTTTAACAAGCTATCCCCCGATTTCCTTAACCCATGATGTGCAAATCAAATGTTTTTTTTTTTGCCTCTATTTGCTGCTTTGAATTTTTTAATCTTGTAAACTTCAAAATTAATTCTTACAGGTTCTTTTTTTAGCATGCTTGAGAACATTCTAGGTGCAAGCAATTTGCTACTCTTGTTGTGTGTTGTTCTGTAATACTTATCGCAGTGATGACATTCAAAATTTAAGCTCAACAGACCGGATTAGAAGCTTTCTTTTTGAAAGTTTGTATGGCGATAATCACTGAACTGAGCGATCTCTGTTTTGAAGTATTTTTTTGCATCTTGTGCTTAAAACAAATAAACTCAATATGATCTTATGTTTTAGACAATAATAACCAGATTTTTTCAAACTATTTAACATGTTTTGTCCCCATGACTGCCTAGTTGTAAATTTCATGTTCCCTTTTAAGTCACAGTTTCATGGTTCTACTGTCTTTGTATTGTTATCTATATGTACGTTTAGCTGGTAGTGTTACATATTATGTCAGCATGCATGCTAGGGTTGTGTAGAATCTGGTTTTAACCCAAAAAACAAACCAAAATATCAATTTTGGTTCGATTTTTTTTTTTTAAAAAAAATAAGGGAACTGAAATTATTTTGGTTTTAGTTCCACACTCTCATTTGATTTTATTTATTTATTTATTATTTTTTTTTTTGTCAAGCACAACTAATCATATTTTATTGCATAGTTCCTTCTTTCTACTTTGTTTTTATATATATTTTTTTTCAATATGGGAAAGTTGACACAACCACAACTAGTCTTGTTTTACAGCTTTAGTCTCATGCTTTCACTTTTTTCTTTGATGTGGGAATGCATAAGCACAAGCACAACTATTGTAGGTGATGCAGACAGATTGTTCTGGTACAGTGAGCTAGAAATAAATGCCAGAGGGCACTGAGAGGTAGATTGGATTTCCTCGTCAACTACAAGCTATGGATCTATATAGTTCGGAATCCATTTATATATATATATATATATTATGTTGATAAATCGTATGATAGTCCCCCAAAGCAGTTGTACTTTCCTATATTATTTTTTGCTTCGTATAATGAATCTAGAGGATGCGATGATTTCAAATTTGAGTTGTATGGTGCCTCGCAAAAAGGGTATATAGAAGAAAAGAAAAGGGTATTATTTGTGATAAACAATAAGCTCATTGAGATTGTATTGGCTGAGATTTTGGATGTCAATTTGGTTAATTTTTCTCGAACTAGATTGGGCTGCATTCATTGATATTTTGGCAAAATATTGTGGAAATTCATAAATTGATCTCAAAATAAAACAAATTTTCTCTTTTGTATTAAAAACTAATTAATTAGAAGATTTTTAATTATGTTTATCAAGTACAGTAAACAAAATGACTATATCTCCTCTCTTTCTCTTTTATAAAATTGGTAAGCCCACGTAAAGATCCCTGCCCAACTTGGAGTGTATTTTTCTCAACTAGACTGGGCTTCTTTCATTGATATCTTTTTAAGACAAGATGAATTGTTATATAGATTGGACTGCTTTCAAATTAATTAGTTTTAGATTGTGTTGGGTAAAGAAAATTATTCTGAATAATTTATAATTTTTGTGGTAGAACGATTAACTATTTCGACTTATGTTATGTGCACACGAAATATTAATACAAATAGGCTAAATAAATAAATAAATACAAATAGTATCTTTTTCGCATTTTCAGTGCTACCTAATATATAATAATATTTAGGAATAATAAATAGTAAAAATAAAAATAGATAGATTTACTCTTTTAATGCAACATATTCAAGATAGATAAATCAACATGCACTTGATGCTATTAACAAAAAGAAATTATCTGTCAAAAATCATCAGCCTCCAACGTTAAGATTCCTGACTCATTTGCCCATTAATGTTTGATCAGTTGTTAATCATCCCAGGCACATCATTCAAAAGAAGGATTTAATAAATAATGGTTTTAAAGGGTTTGAAGGAACTGCGCTCCATGCCTAAACCTATTGGATCTGAACTGGCTGACATTTGCCCCGTAATCATAATTCTGTGGGCTCACTTGCATTCATCTTAATTTTTGTCACCATTTCAGGAGCTCTCATTTTGAAAATGCTTGGCCATTAAAAAGGTTCAATGCACCATATGGTCATTTCATTTGAAGGAAAAAAAACATGCTAAAATATCTGATATGGTTTGAACTCCATCCATCAGTTATTTTTCATCATATCAGCATCTTGCCCCTCCAATCCTGTCTGCCACTTCGTTTAAACACAAACTTATGGTGTTTTAACGACTAATTTTGGATACTCCTATAGATTAAACTGATCAATATAGACTGCAATCCCATTTTTCAGCTCCATGAAAAAGGGGGACTCTCCTTAATGAAAGAACGAAAGATGGACCACGCCATCTACTGGGCTAAAAGGGTTAACAGAAGTACGTACAATAAGAAAGATGGTGACTGCTGGAAACTCCCACTACGTGTGGAGAATGTTCATAGATATGCTTTGCAAAGGTCTTTCATGTTCCCTTTGATGCATGGCATCTTGTTAGTTCCAAATGGCAGCTCCTTTTGTCCTAATCTATGATTTTTTTTTTTTTTTTTTCAACATGATTCGTGGGTCGTCTCGCATGAAACAATTGAACGATTGACGCTTGGTCTCTCTACATGAAGATCTCAAGTTTAAATTCTAAAAGAGATGAAGATTTTAGGAACTAAAAGATGATTAAATGTAGATATATAATTTAAGACCTATCAGACCTCTCATTAAAATAATAATAATAATAATAATAATAATTGTTAAGAAAAAAGAAAAAAAAGAGAGGAAAATCTCTCTTTTCTCTAATTTTGTTAAATTAATAAAGACAATAGCTAATTAGTGTTTTTGGAGCCATTGTTATAAATGAAGCTTAAAACTGTTCACATTCAAATAATTAAAAATACTTTTAAAACATTAACAAATTGTTAGTTCGAGTAGTAAACGAACTGGTCTCCAAATGAATTTTCTATCAATGTACATGATTTGAATTTTAAATTTATATTTATTCAAAAAAGTTAAACTTTGTCACTTCTACTTTAAATATAATTAATCATATTTTCAATATCAAATAAAAATGCCTAAAGAAAGCTAAAATATAAAAAAAAAATCTAAAAATTAAAAGCCTCTAAAAGCTGCTCACTCTATATTATTTGAGTTAAACAAAAATGAACAAACAAATTAATGAAGGTCGGTCTGTCTCAACTCTTATCAATATAGATTGACACAAATATAATAATGTACACTTTTGCTCTCTCCAAATTTTTTATTCCTCTCAATAAATCTTCTCATAGAGGAAACAAAGGTGCCCCCATTTTTTCGTTATTATTATTATTTTTTTTTCAAGAGTAAGGTGGTGGTATCTTAGCAATGATAAATGCAGATTGATTCAAGCACATCAAGGTAGCTTTTAAGCAAAACCTACAAATCAAATTTTTCTTACTTCCCCCATCGATTAAGCAAATCAAATGGATTTTTCCACAACTTGTTGGTTAATCATTAATTGGTCAAATTCTGCATGATGGGAGGAGTGGAACACTGGCAAAATTATTGAGAAATTATTGGGCATGGATTGGGCTAACACACTCAAGTGATCAGTTGAACTTGTGACTCTGGTCCATAGTGATTGATAGGTGATCAACTTCAATCTCCAACATGAGCTTAGGCAAATTGGCTAGCAAAATGTATGCATGTGAAGTTCTGAAAATGACCCCACGCGGTTAGAGCTAATAAAATATCAACGCAGTTTGTTGTTGATCTTAGTGGGCAGTAGTGTCAAATTGTTTAGGCAATTTGTGCCTGTTGTAATTGTGTAGTAGATTCTAGGTTGGGCCTATTTATCAACTTACCTCTATTCCACTTGAAACATAAACCATTCATTGTAGATAGAGGCTAAGCCCATGACTAGATATCAACTATGAACTTTTTTTTTTTTTTCATGTTTATATTTTTATGCTGGACTAGGATACCCACATAAATTGTTTTCATTTGGTTTTATATTTTAATGGTAAAGGTATTTCCCAATTTTAAGATGTTGGCCAGATAGTCAAGGAGATTTGATATTTTTCTTTTTTTTTTTTTTTTTTTTTTTTTTGTTCAAAGTTCAAAGTTTGGAGTTAGCATCTAAAAAATTTTAAATTCATTTGAATATATTAGAACGATATGCCGATGATACTTTTAAAACTATTTAAAAAAATAAATCTTAATTGATATGTGAGGATATTCCTTATCGTTGAATTAAAAAAAAATGATTAATTAAGGTATTCTTTAACTAGTTTATGTTCATCAAAACTAAGTTTTTTCTCGAATAGATTTTAAATAAACTATTCACGTCTCAATATATATATATATATATATGAAAAAAAAATTATTAAGGTTTTCTTTTTAAATTTAAATTAGAAATAATAATATGAACAAATTTATATATCACATGAGCTAAACGGTGTGTGTATATATATATATATATATATATATGACAACAATGAGAACAAATCCATGATAAATTCGGTTAAGATTATGATATACTATATGATATAAAAATTCAATCCTTTATGTAAAAGGATATTGAATCACAAGTCCATCTCTTTAATTATTATTATTATTATTATTATTATTATTTGCCGTAAATGACATTTTTCTACACATTATCTAGGTGAATTCTCTGATATTTTCAAATAACATGTCCAGGAAACAAAAAAGAGAGGAGGGAAAAGAAGAGATTTAAAACGAAACATTTTGCTAGTATAACGTTTAAGATGCTAAGATATTTCTCATCTCTCAATATTCTTCTTCCTGTTGCACAAACTGTTGGATGGATACATGCCCAAGAATTCCCACTAGGAAGGAAAGATCATGAGAAGGATGTACAGGTGCCAAGATTAGGTCATTCTCATGAAAAGATCAGATCAAATCCAATACAAAAATGTGCAAGTCAAAGCTATTATTTGGGCACCATAGCACAAATTAAGCTAGCAAAAAGAGACTTTTTATGCAACTTCCCAACTATAAGCCATTATCATGGGGCAGGAAAAGAGAGACCTAACTAGCTCAGGGATTGCTACTTGGGGTGTGCATGCTTCCCATTGCCAAGTGTACAAGGTGGTATGGCCGGTTAAAGCTTCAACCACTGAAAGTTCATGGACCAGCTTTCTCCTTCAATAAATGTTTGTTTCGTCAAATATGGCTTCTTGATTATCCCCTGCAACTGTATCAGGTTTCAAAGAGGAAAAAGTAATGATGAAATCTCTCTCAACCCACCATCTAACCCTCACATGATCTTGATTTGCTCTAATTAGCACATTAGGTCACATGATTCACATCTATGCTAGTACTATTGATCCTAGGGTGAAGTATGTGGAGACTTCTCGAGCATGTTGATTTCTAATAATATTATTTAGTAATATTAGATTTGAGCTCATTTGATTTAAAAAGAAAATTTAGTGATCGATCAAAGGTTAATCGTATTCTAATATAGTTTTATTAAAAAAAAACAATTGATTTAATCTCGATTGATACAAAAGCCGACATAAAGATATCTCACTCTATATATATATATAATTTCTTAAATTTAATAAATAAATAAATTTTCATCACATGAAGCATAATATAATGCTATGGAGATTTTGTAAAGGCAGATATATATGGTGCGTGGGTACGTAATGGCTAAATTACTACTAGTTATGCACACAAGTAATCTTTTTGGCCTTCGTATAGGCTACTATTTTTATCATATAGTTACTGGGGCACGAAAGCAATCCGTTCTCCCCCTCCACTTCTTTTTATCTCTTTAATCTTTAAATAAACTATCATTCATTTGCGTGCATTTGAGAGAAGGAAAATTAAATTTATGAATGATGTCATATAAAACGTTTACCTAATAGCTAAACCAATGCATGAATATACAAAAAAGAAAAAAAGATCAATATATAAAAATTATTAAGAAAAATATTATTATTAAAAAATCAATCCAATTCAAAAATTTAAGCTAATTATTAGATAAAATTTCAAAATATGAGTTACATTATTTTCTAACAATATCTAATTAATTTAAAAATACGATGGAATATATAAATTAACTAAAACATGTCGTGTTTGATTTTTGCCAAAACAATCATGACTAAATATAGAAATGTGATTAAAAAAAAAAAATTACATCTTTCATTAGATCGAACTTTCATTAGAACTTTATTAATATTTGTTACTCCTATCTTGTGAGGCCTAAAATGTTTAGAAAATAAAATTTGAATATAAAATGTAATGTTGATTCTAAAGTTGCGAGAATCGTTGTGTATATATATACTTTCCTTATTTTTCATATCTTATTTTATCGATCCAAACACAATCCAGCTAGCTAATTTCCAAGCCAAATATGTCCTTCCAAATTTCACCCTTAATCATTCCCTCACTTGATTGAAATAGTTGATGATAAGAACACGTTATAGTCTGAATATTTTAGTTGGAAGTCGGTGGTGCAATATTGTGAAGTAGTGCTGAATTGTGAATGTAAAATTCTCTCACAAGATGACATGTGCACCATTTTCCAAAAGGTGAAAACCTTCACGGTTGGCCCCATGTCTACATCAATGCCCACTATAAATACCACTATAATATCCTTCCCACCTATACCCGAGTGATCATCGATTTGATTTCACATTGCCTCATCCTACGCATCTTGAAGCATAGCCACAAAGCCATTACAAAAACACTGCAGCCCAATTTATTTCATTTCACTCTGTTTCTTCTTTTCTTGATTGCTGGAGGTTCTTTTGCTCGTAATTTTGGTGGTGCGACCAATAGTGTTGTAGAAGGTGACAAGAAAGTAGTTGCCTCTCCTGAAATGTCTACAGGGCCTAGAGGAGAGACTGGTTCAGGCCATGGGCCTAACTGGGATTATAATTGGAGATGGGCTTCTACTCCAAATGGAGGATGGGGCTACGGGTCTGGTTCGGGTCGGTCGTCGAATGGGTTTGGTAGGGGTTTCGGGTATGGGTCTGGTTCCGGAACAGGGTCAGGCTCAGGGTATGGTTATGGGTCTGGAAGTGTTGGTGCCCATGGTGGTGGATATGGTGCTGGAAGTGGGTCTGGTAATTCTGCTGGTGGTGGCAGTGGCAGTAGTAGAGGAAGTGGTGGCTCGAGTGGCCACTGGACACACTCATCATACTCTGGACAAAGAACCAACCATGGGTGATGGATTCATGGGTTGGAGTCCATGTGTGCACATGCTTTCTTCGATAAAGTGTGACGTTTCCCTCTTTATATATATATATATATATAGTATTTGCATGGTTTGTAAGCTATATAGTGTGTAGTTTCAGTAAGTTTGCAAAATATTTTATCATATAGATATGCTTTTAGTAATATATAACTATGTTCACTGTGCCCTTAAAAATATTTTTGAAAGATGAATTATTTTCTTTCCTGAGTTATTGTGGTTATTATTCTTTTATTTTCATTTTTTTCTTCAATTTGGCATACAATAATAGGAATAGCTATTAGTGATAGTAGTTTATGGAGTGTCTTTTAGATAAGTTTTTACATAAACCTGATTTTGGACCAGAATATTTTCAAGCAATGGACTTTTTTTTTTTTTTTTGGTTCTTTTAATATAATTGATTAGTGTAAGAAATCAAAATAGCGTGATTGGTTTGATACGATAGAGTAGATTTATGTAATAATTTTTCTTTTATTCATTGAAATGTATGAAAAAAGGTATGAAAAAGCCTCAAAACAGACAGAAATTTTCATATGAAACGAAAGATAAATTAAGTATACGTAGATGCAACAATATTATGTGTGTTAATCTTATTAGTTTTATGAAGTTCCTAATCTTTTGGAACAGTAAACTATCAGTATCCCTTACTTCAACTTTCAGATTTCTGCTACATATATTTGAGAAGTTTATTTCCGGAAGTTTCTAAACAATTTCAACTACTTATAAATACATTGCTGTGGGGACAGTGGGGTAACGAGCTTGGTCATCCCTATACCGTTCAATTTTTGTTAATATGGTCTCTTGTCATATAATTTTTCTAATGAAGCCTCTAGCTAGATTATCTTTTCGTCTTTTAATCTAGTCCTTCCATCCAATTCGTTCTCTAACAGTGTTAATTGGTTGTTAATTTCTAATTTTGTAATCTCTTTAGTTTTTCTTAATTTTTTTCATTATAGGAATTAAAAAGAACAACATATTCCAAGTTGACAGCCTAATTAATTAACATAGTTAGAGATGGAATTGGACGAGAGGACCACATTAATAGATGAAAAGATAGTGAAAGGCTTAATTAAGAAAATTATATGACAAGGATGATATATTCAAAACTTGAATAGACAAGTATCAACAAGCACATTACTACCATTGCTGCATAAAAAAAAGGATTATAGTAACTTTTTGTCATCCTTCAATTTTTCATGTAGAAGAAATTATTCGGTTACCTGTATTACGCTGTAGATAGGAAAAAACAAAATCATTTCAAAATTTAATAATTTTTTCATTAATTTTTTTTATTTAATTAACTTTTTATTATGTTTTTCATAAAATTTTTACTCAAAAAATATGATTTATTCTTCTTTATATGATAATTTAAACTGAAATATTAATAATTTTTTTAAATACTTTAAAAAATATAATTTTTTTTACTAAAATGTATTCGAAAAATAAAGTTATAATTAATATATAGACTTGTTGAAAAATTAACAAAAAAATAAATTTTTTTTCATATTTAATGCTGATGAGAAGATTATTTTTTAAAATTATATACATTTGATACATATACAAAATAATCAATAATATTAGCATAAAAAATTGTATTTCAATAATTGGGTGGTTCCTTTAAAAAAAATTATTTTTTTTTAAAAGAAATTGGTTCTATAATATTAAAAGAAAATTTATAGCAAATAGTTAATGTTATATGTGAAAATGTATAGTTAATTTTTGATAAAACCGATGATTTAATAGTTTTTTATGCGTTTTGACTATACTTAGTAGACTGAGATAAATTATGTGAAACACACTTTTAACTTTTTAGATTAAAATAATTATATATTTATATATATGCAACTATCATTTAAAAATTTTAAGAATTCACTATATATATTATACCAATTTATTTTTAAAAAATCATGTTTTAAAATTTTATTCCAAAATTCAAATATAGAGGAAAATAAACTATATTTATCATATAAAATTTTATTTAAAAAATATTAATTGGATGAGAATTTTAATAAGAAATGATAAATTCAAAAATAATTTTAAATAATAAGAGTAATATAATCTAAAATATAAGTTAATTTTAAAATAAAAAAAACTATATATATATATATATATATATATATCCTCGTCACACTGTATGAAAAAAAAATAATATTTTATTTTTACCTAAAAATTTTTAATTTAAAAAAATCATAGAAAAGAAAAAAAACAAGGACCAAGCCAGCACATTTAGGTCTGGAAGACCAGGCCCGTGTGCCTGGCCCTAGAGCAACTGGCCCAAATTATATATATGGATATTTGTCATTTGACCAAAAAAAAAAAAAAAAAAAAAAAAAAAAAGCTCTATTGCTTCTTTGTCTCTTTAGTTCCTCTTTAAAAAGCTATATAATTATATTTATCATTTCTTTGGATAAGTGTAGTACTGTTTATTTATGTTGAGTTTTAAGTTTTACAAATAATGTAAACTTATAAGATAAAACAAGATGGTTGAACTTGTTTTATTTTTAAAATAACGTGTAACATATATTTAATCTGTTACATTAGATAAATTTTACAAACGAAGCGTATCGTATAAAAAAAAACAATTTGGTTGTGCCTCGGGCAGGTATAATCACCTCAATATTTTGGTAAACTATTTTGAAAGTTCAGTTATTTCTATATCATGAAACATAGTAATATGATTTTAATCACTAATTTTTCTAATGATTAAGCTAAAAAAAATTTAATTTTTTATTCATCTTAATTTATAATGAATTTATTTATTTATTATGTGAATTTATATCATTTAATTATGTTTTTTTTTCTTTTTATGTGGTAGTAACAGCATGTACCTTGAGATATTTTTTCCCCTCATCCCCTTCTCTACCTAAGCCACATCAATACATCAGGTGACCATTAGGTATATATTTTTTTTTTTTAGCTTACTGAGATTGCCAATGCACAAACTGGTGGCATTGATGTGATCTGGAAGTTTCTGGCTGTTGTGACACATGAGAGCCCAATCATCCTCGTTTCCAATTCCTGATTCCATACCCATGATCAAATAGGCTTTTTTTTTTTTTTTTTTTTTGAGTACCACTTTTCTTTTGATTTCAAGAACTGAGAGTAAATTATATACTAGTGCCTCTCATTTCAAAAAACGAATTAATTAATATTCTTTATTTTAAAAACTAATTATTTAGTTTTTATATTTTGAATTATACTTGTAATTTAGTGGTTTTTACTCCTTTTTTTAAATTTATTTTGTTTTAAAAAATAGAAAAAGGAAAAAAAATCTAAAAAGATTAATAAGAAAATAAGAGTTTTTATAGTATAAAAATAATATTAAATTAAACATGATAGATATTGATTAGAAAATTAAATAATAATTTTTTTAAAAAAACTAATTAATTTATTTCTTAAAACTAGAGGGACTAATTTATAATTTACTTCACGAACGGAGCTTGCACTTCTTGACAATGGCTCATATTTCCTCCCTCTCCCTTACCATTATCAAATTCATTAATGAAATTCTAGTCCATTACTTTATACCTATTTTTTATTTTAAAATAAATAGCTTAATTTATCTTTATAAAACAATCTGAATTTTTAATTTATCTTTATGGATCTATTATATCTTAAATAATGTTTAAATTTTCAATCTATTATTCCAATCAATTTTTTCAATCATGAGAAAATTTTTAATCAAAATATTTTTGATAACAATATAAAAAAACAAAAATTATAAAGACTTTAAAATAGAATATTCAATATCATGTGACTTTAAGATTTTTTTTTTTTAATAATGAGTGTTTCATTTAAAAAATTTATCTATAGTCGAAAAAATTAGTTAGAATAATAAATTAAAAAATTAAACGTTATTCAGAACATAATAAATACAGTTAAAAATATAAAAATAATATAGATCGGGTAATTGCTGGTAGAAGTGAAACAAACTATTCTAAAATAAGAAAGAAAACAAGTAACATTTCGGCACCATAAACAAATCTTAATCACTTGTGCTAACTCTTACAGGTTCGAAATCAGTTCTCATGGAGTAATATAGATCTCAGACTGAATGTCACCACTCATGCCAGATTTCAAGGACACATCTTGGTTTCTTGCAATTTTTTTTGCAACTATTTATTAATTTTGTCATAATCTAACCTGTCCCAATTGTCAAAGTCGTCCAAATAAATGAGTACAGGTAGCTAAATCTTTTTTACTCCAATCTAACTTGATCCGCTTCAACCTATTAATTATTGGGTCATGTTTATGCTGAACATTTTCTGCCCAAGTCTGAACTAATCTGAACTGGATTTTTCACTTAAAATTCTTACAAGAAAATAATCAAACCTGTCCTACGTAGATAGATCTAGATTTGTCTGTAAGCTAGACACTTGACACCAACCTAAAATAATAAACAAGATGAATTTAGATTCCATCTCCAATTACATCAATCAATGCATATCCTTACAGCTCCATGTATACCTGTCAGCTTTCTACGAGCCATTCCTAAAAGTTAAGGAACCAATACCTATCTGCTTCAATGCATTAATTACCTGAGATGATTCAGATTACTAACTAAAACAAGTAAAACATCAAAATCTGGGAACCGATAGCTTTCACATTAAGGCTAGCAGAGTAAGAAGCAGCATACTTTTGTATAAATCAAAGAATTAATTAAAATAGAAATTAGCTGTAGTCCATGATGGAGCAACTACAGGGCAGTAGCATGTGTAACCTGCATAGAATACTAGGAACCACGTTCCAAAAATGCATTCTAATGAAACTAGTAGTTAGAATTCGTATGGAGCCATCAGCAGAAGATAGGCATGGAGCGGGAATCGGCAAGCATCAGGATCAAAAGAGATGAAGCACTGCAGCAGCAAATGGAGTGAGCACATCGGTGATCTGACTTCTAAAACTAGCTTCCGCTATAGATAGCGAGAAATTGTAAATCATTCCAGCTTGATGTTGATCCATTCCACTTCATTTCCAAACTTTCTATCCGATCAGGAACCATCACATTTTGTCTCGCATTGCCAGGATTGTACATAGGATGAACGTTATATTTCAGATGCATAGAAGGAGACCAACAACCATACAATTGCGAGATATAGATATTCTATGTTTTAAAGCAAGAACTATATTTTGGTTAGGAGATTACCAGATAACAAAATGCAAGAATACATCAAATACAGACTTGAAACTCCAAACAAGAAACTAAGGTCTTTATGCTTTCTCACATCCATGCACAAACACAGTCTCTAAATGGCTCCCTGATTTTCATTCCATTCACTTGTATAATTTCTTGATTCAATTGAAACAATATACAACGAGATGGAAGGAACCAAAGAAAATATTGAACAATAAAAAGTTGCAACCATGATTCGAAAGAGTTCTTATGGAGTTAGGAGTAAAGCAGACTCTCAGTAATCTTCATTTTCTCTGACACAAAAAAATATGTATAATACTCTCTTTTTTTTTTTTTTTTTTTAAAAAGGACCTATCCAGCTCTGGATTACGGTAAATATATACACAGAAAACTAGTAACCAGATGTCAACCATTGCTCTCAAACTTGAAATTCTTAAGCATTTGTGAAATTACTGCTACCCATGCTTTAGAGACCTGAAATTATTCGCTATCAAATGTCGTAAATTCTGTCTACTCATTACTGTAATCAGCTATAAGCTGTGAGCACTCATGCATCAAAATAACTTGTAAAAATCCTATCTGCAAACAACGAAAACGAAACGGAACTATATAAATAACACAAATCAGAGGTACGTTTAAAGTTGGAAAATTAAGCTGTAGCATTATCAATCACTCCATATGCATCATCCTCGAGAATTCCTATTTGTGATTAACATTCAATGCAAACTCTAAACCAGCGTCGATCACTCCAAATCCTAAAGTCTTGTACACTCTATGAAAGAAAACATATTTGGAGCATTAGATGAATTAAAGAAATACGGGACCCTATTTTGAGACACGGGATTAATTCAAAATGTCTTTGAATAATTGACTATTTTTTAAAACTTTAGGTTTTTTCCAAGTATTTCTCAAAGTATCACTCTAAGATCCCAACTAACATTCAAGAAAAATTTCCAAAACTAAGCAAGCTGGTCTTGCTTTTGAACAACTCTAGCCCAAAGTGTAAGTTCTTGACTTGCTTTTGAACCTTACACTATAAGAAAATCAAAAAATAGCGATAGATTTTTTCGTTGTTATATCATTAATATTGTCGCTATTTAGCCTCAGTGATGGATTTGACACAATATACTTTCAGTAGCTAAAACGGTTGTAGCTATTTTCTTACCGACGTTTTTTTTTCTTTTGCTAATGTGTAGAATTTACGTCGTTAAATCGAAATAAACGAGTTGTCTCTTCGATTCGATATCCGTTGCAAAACCGTAACTAATTTCGTCGCTAATTCATACTTGTTAAAATTTCTCTCAAATCCATTGCTATTTAGGGATCGTGTATGTGCTCGTCGTAAAGAGGTTTAATTTTTGTCGCTAATTTGATCGCTAATCGATTGCTAAACAAAGTAATTTTTTTTTTAATAAATTAATAGCCGTTTAATGTTAATTGTAGTAACAAACAATTAAAAATAACACTTTATTAAAACACGATATATTATTTAATATAATTAAAATAATATAAATTAAAATCAAATAAACATATATATGCATTAAGGTGTGCTAAAATATTAAAAACCTTAAAAAAGAAAAAAGAAATCTAGTCATCACCATCATCTCTTGCATCATCTTCCGGCTATTGGATATTGAGAGGAACGACTAACTCTTAAGTTGCGGGGGGTCAATAGGAAGGATATGACTCTATTGTAGGTCTCATAACAATCTCATCACTATCTCCATCCGACTCCGTACGGTATTGACTTTACCCGCCTGTTCCCGGATGGTAACCTCCATGCTCTTGATCTATCTTCATACCGAGTAAAAACCTCTTGGATATTACCACCAAAATACCGCAAAGTGACAAAGAAGGAACTGGTGTTAGAATGGGAATAATATTAGGATGCTTGTGATCCGAAACCGTACACTCTCTCGCTTCTTCTCACCTTCTACAACATCCAAATATATCTTGAACATATCAATGTTTGAAGACGATGAATCACCCTCATGTTATTCCTTAGCAGCGACTTCTTGCATTGATCGCACAAGCTCATAAGTCATTAAAATAACTATAATATTAAATCATAAATATATTTTTAGATTATATTGATATATGTATAGTTACAAAAATAAAAAAACTTACTATCATTGTCTAGGATCGTCTCGTCAACGAATGACTCATCTTTACGCTTGTGAGTGGTCGAAACACCTTGTAAGGATTTGGGTTACAACTCGGTGGATAATATGAGATGCAATAAATACAAAAATTAATTTATAACACAATGGATAATAGAATTTACCAAATATTCAGTGTGTTTAATTAAAGAGATGGATCCCTTCATATGACCGGATAGGCCAACACCGACACCACCTGTCTCCACGTGTGGTTTTAGGATGCCCGCCGAGATCAAGCATGAAACTCGGGTGTGGCCTAATATCGGTTTCAAGCATCCCACACCTGCTATTTAATAAACACGGGTCTATTAGTCTTTTGCTTTAACTTGTTCAGCATGTCATTGTATTGCTTTCATGCCAAACTCTCTCATGCATTCTTAATCGGTGCATCGACGATCGCATCTTATAAAAAATACTTTTACACGAAATAAAAAAATAATATTAATACATTTCATGTTAAATTAATACTTTAAATAAAATATAAAAATATAATTAATATGTTATGCTAAACTCATTAAAGTACAAGTCTTTCATCTCCATAGAGACAGAATTTAAATGAAATATAAAAAAATAATTAATATGTTATTATAAAATTATATTAATTTTTATGGAGCACTTACTTGATGGAACCAAACTCGTTGAATAAAACAAATAACTAATAAATAAGTAAATTAATGATTTTAATATAATATATGAAAAGATAAAATTAATTATCACATGTAAAACATATTACTTACCAGTTATTCATGATTTGAATGGTTTGTCCATTATCGGATCCAATAGAGATTCCTAGAGATGAGGAAACTGTCATAGTGATCTTCATAGCTAGGGGGCACTATCGGCAGGGCATTATTGGTGAGGGCACTACCCAAAAGGTCACTACTCGGTAGTAGGGATATAGACATACCGACACCACTATCAAGTTCACGATCCCGGACACTTGCACTAGTAGTGCCACATCCACATACAACGTCATTGTCGGTGGCATGATCACGGATACTACCGGTATCGGTGCGACAACCATATACATTAGAGCCATTAGAGCCATAACCACTAGCATAGCTATAAGATCTCGCCTAATCCATAAGGCATAATTCTAGAATAACATCTAAAATTGTTTAACAAATATGACAAATGATAACAATCCAATTGAAAATATGTTATAAATTGTTTGGATAAAAAACAAATAAAAATTTGGCATAGTCTTCCTTATAAATTGGATATTCCCTTTATTACTTAAGACACTACATGCATAAAATTCAACACATCCAAAATGCACAACAAACATCTAAAAAATGCATAATAGACAAAACGATATAAGTTAATGAATATAACAAATAAAATTGATCTTTAATTACAATTATCATAATCATCTTTTAAGTTTTTCTCTTCTTTAATTGATTCGATACATATTCACCCTCATCTTCTTCATTGGCTTCAGTTATATATCTATAAACGATTAATTTATATCATTCAACGAATGCTCCTTACCATATTCATGGTTTAAATTATGTTAGATTTTTGAATCATCCTCTTGAAACGATTTTGCATTTTGTTGGACTCCGATAGACGATTTTGACAAATCAACCACAGCCTTAGCTTTTATCTTACAAACAGACCTACCAATCTCAATGGTCGCGCTTCAAACTAGGATATGCAACATAATATACTTAAGTCGCTGGTGTCGGTAAAACAAAGGGTTCGCATATGTTAAAACTCTTTTTGTAGTTTATCTTTGTTAGTTTATATTATGGATAAATCCTTATTTCGTTTGATGTAGGATTAAACTAATCACATTTGAACATTATCGTTCTCTTGATTGGTAGTACATGATACTCCAATTATAGAATTTCAATCAACCATTGAAATTAAATCAACCAACAATCAATTTGCGCACACTAAAATCGGCACTTGCCTCGGATACTTCATCAAAATTAAATTTCAAACTCATTCTTCTAGCTCTATCGCAGAATATTGAACCAAATTTATTTCTCCTCAATTCCATCGACCCTAAGAGTTCGATAGGTCGTGGTGTATCTTGGCACACACCACTAATTATATAAAAATAATCAAATTAACTCAAATTCAAATCTAATTTAATGTTAAAAAACAAATACATAACAAATTAAAATATAAATAAAATTAAAAAAGAGAAAATTAATACCAATAAACCTAATTAATTCAATCCTAATTCAAATTAACATAATTAATCTAATTCAAACCTAATTAAATTTCAAAAAAATAAAATTAACTTAATTAAATCTAATTAAATTTAAAATAATAAATAATTAACAATTTTTAATATACATAAAAATAAAAATCAAAGAATTAATAAAAATTAATCTAATTAATTAATTAAATTAACCTAGTTAATACTAATTCAAACCTAATTAAATATAAACCTAAATTAAATTAACTTAATTCTAATCTAATTAAAACCTAATTAAACTTAAAATAACAAATAATTAACAATTTCCAAACTAAATAAATTAAAAATCAACCAAGTAATCAAAATTAGCCTAATTAATTCATTAAAGCTAAATCAAATTAACCCATTTATTAATTCTAATTTAAACCTAATTAA